TGAATTCATACTTGTTTATATTGGCTCACTACCTTTTATGTATTATGAATAAAGTTTTTGTGTTTTATTTTTGTTACATTTTCGTGATTCAATATCATTTTTTTACTGTTCAATAATTTCTATATTATATTTACAATTATTTTCATATAAATTAGATTATTCTATCTTTTTATACTGAATAAAATTTGAATTTTTTATTTATTTCAATTCACATCTTTTTATTCTTTGTTTAATAAATTTGAGCAAAAGAATTGGCATCCTGAAGGCAAACCTCCTAGCCACATGAGAACCAACTCAATACATATGTGTATTGAATTATGAAAGTCGCAAATATGTAATGCATCATCTTATGTCTCTTTCACATGCACTCGCTTTCTAATCAATATTCGAATGGTTACTTTACAACATTCTTGTTCAGTGGTTTTCATATTCTTTGAAATATATTTTAACTTGATTTTTGTATGATCGTCTCCACTATCATTGTGAAATCATTACATTTTATACATTAATCCTTAAAATACATGTATAGCCGAAAGAATAGAATTGTATATACATTCATAACCAATGCCACATAGTTACATTTTCTTATCATCAATCATATATAGTCGATTTGTTATTTGCATGTCAAATCTTTGTTTACATCATTGATTTGTAAGAAACATTAATTCTTCTTTACAAATTTGTTAGAATAAAATATTTTCGAGAAGTAGATTATAGTATTTTGGTGTTTTTTGTTACCTACTGGATGTGTCCCCCAAAACTTTGTGATTGATTTTTTGATTGCGTAGACTCTTATATAGCCTTGGAAAAATTCGTCTAGAAATATGTCTGGAAGTGGGGAAGATGCAAATTGCAAAACTTTTATATAACTATATATATAATGAACCAAGTAATTAACTGTATACATAGAACCAAGTTAATTATATATAGTGGTTATTAGTTATGAAGCTTTTTGGTTATTTCGGGTATTATGTGATCAATTTTTACAAACGTAAAATGTTTAGTACAAATCAAATTTTGTAATTAATCGTATTTTTTATATATACGTTTAGTTAATAGACAAAGTCAAAGTTCTAAGGTTAATTAGTAATTTAGTATATGGTCTGGAATTTGTTGAAAGTTAGCAAGAGTAGTAGAGTACCAATGCATATTAATCAAGAGGAAAGTCAACATCGTTTACTAAACGGACGTTCTTATGTAAGCGGGACGAATCTCATTTGCACCTTTGCATGTGTCACTGACTCACTGTAACAAAACACGATTGCAAATTTTATTCGTAACTTTTCGTTTTTTTTAGTAAAAATGAGGGACACGTGTCATTCTTAACAATGATTAAACCCATCTTTTATAATATATAAAAAAAAAATATTTCTTCAAAGTTTCTTGAAAAAATATCAACGGATACGATCATCTCGAAAAATCACGTGTGTCGCAAAGGCAAACCAAACGGTGGGTCAGATGGAGAGAATACTGCATCTCTTCCTGGGTCAGGAGTTGGTTCTGGTGAGCCAAGTTCTGTAGACAATAGCAGTCCTAGTTTCAATAGTTTTCGTTTTAACCCCTTGATGCAAAATCTGTCTATTGCTTAGGGTACTTGTGGGGAGACCTACAACTAAATCTATGTCTCGCATTGTTGGTTCAGTAGACACAAGATAGTTTAGAAAGTCTTATGGATCTGATAAAAGTATGGTTCTTCTGCTTCTTCATGGAGTATCGGGCTCTTGTTGGAAGCTCAAAGTTGAGATTTGTTTCACCTGTGTTTGTTAGTTGATTGTTTAAACCTGCAGGTGCGTATCACTTTAGCTTTAGCTTTATGAAAAAGATAGAGATGGTTTTGGTTCTGTTTCTTGTTTGGCTTATATGTTTCTTTCCATCTAGAGTTCGGCAAGATTTTGTTTTGTTTAGTATAGGGAAAAGTTTCTTGTATATCTTCTGCTTTGTTGCTATTTTTCTTCCTTGATGTTGAGCTTTGTAATGTGTTTTATGATGAGAGTGCACACAAGTGTGCGTATGATTGCTCTGTTTTTAATAGCCTTGTGATTGATTCAATGAAGAGTGATTCGTTTGCCTTGGAAGCTGTTATTGACTCTTTTTTGTACAACTAAATATTTTTTTCCACAAATTTATAAGAGATCGAATTACAGATCTGCAGATCCTTAATCTAGTAATATTATAAAGATTTAAGACAATTGTATGTCTAATATTGGACGTACATAAGAACTATATTGTGTGTTTTAACTTAGGATTTTAATTTATTAATTTGAATATTGTTTAGATGAAAGAACTGAAAACAAATCTAATCTAGTTTGGAATTGGAAGTCGAGTCCTTTGATGATGAGATTAGTTCAGCTATAGGAAGCTTCCTTGAATCCAAATTTTAATTTACTAATTTGAATA